GTTCACAGAAAGGCTAAATGATTTCCTGTGTGTGTTTATTTCCCGGACTGCCCCTTGAGGAAGTCTGAAAAGAACAGTTTCTACCCAAAAGCTCTCAGAGTTTCAATAGGTTTTTCAAAGTTCCCTCCCCACTCTGTGCCCCAAGCAAAGAATTCCAGCTGTGTGGTTTCTAAAGATTTTACTTACAAGCAGCTGAAAACAGAGTCTGAATGGACAGTTAAACCCACCCCAACCTTTTTTTGCACCCCTGTGGGACAAGTGGTTACTTTGTTCATTCACAAAGGCGTGGAGGGAGAGAGCAAGTGAGCCACCCTCTGGTATAAGAAGCTCCTTTCAAATAAATCCCTTTAAATGTATCTAAATCAAAGACACTCAAAAGGCAGGAGGCTGCACAAGGAAAACGGAATGAAACTTTTCAGTTCTTCTCACACCCCAGTGCCCCAGAGGAACAGAAAAATGTCTTTTCTCCTCTGACATATGGTCTCATGAAACATTCCTCAAAGATGAGTCTTTTGGTTGGCCTCTGCAGATTTGCCTGCTTCTCCGAGAGGAAAGTGAGGCTTTTTTTGTTATTGTTATCATTGCTTCCCTGACATGGGGACAGTCTTTGTTTTTACATTTCTTTTTTCTGACTTGCAAAATAGCCAAGTGAACTTCACTGATCAGAGATCCCATTTAAAAAATAATCACAAAACATAGTGTTTTCTGGCACTTTCTTCTATTGTGATTGTCAAGTTGCAAAACTTCAAAGTGTGAAATGTGTCTGAATGCTCTTTATGCTCTGCAGACATGTTTTAGACTTGGTGGTGTTTTTTCCACTGCAGTAGAATGCTGTTCCTAGTCCAGCAAGGTTATACCATGTGATTTCCCCGCTCAGCACCGGATTGGATCACTTTGTCTCCCTCCTACCCTCCACTGGTGGTGACACCACTTCTTGCTGAGCAAACCTCTAAAAGAAAGAGTGAGAAGCAGTTTTGTCCACAGCTAAGAACTAATTATTACAGTGACTTAGACTTTGGAGATTGGGAAGACTTTAGCCCTATCAGCATGGTTTCAGAGGGTTTCTGAATATGAATGGAGAATATGAATAGGAATATGAATGGAGAGTCCATTTCAGATCCTCCCCACTATTTTCATACAATGTTCTGGAAAATGACCCATCAGGTAGGTCAAAACTGGTCTCTGGTATCTCTCAGATTTTACAAATCCAGAAAAGTTTCCCTGCCTCGAGGAAACTTGAATATTCAATTTTTTGCCCAGAAGAGAAGATGCTTAAAAAATGACTCTCTCTCTTTCTATCTATCTATCTATCTATCTATCTATCTATCTATCTATCTATCTATCTATCTCTTTCTCTCTCTCAAATTTAAAACATATTTCCTTTCCCCTCCATATCCTGTTAATTCCACACACTCTCTCCCTCTTTTTCTTTCTTCCTCTTTTTTTCCTCTCACTCTCCTGATGTGGTATTTTCAAGACCAAGTCTTTAACAATAAACAGCACTAGAAATAAGGATGATACTGAAAATAAGACACATAACATGGGACTTTTTTTTGAAGTTAATGTTTTAAATATTTATGTTAAAACCTTTTCCTAAAGCTCTGCTGGAGCATGCTGTGCCTTTTTCTCACTTGACAAAATTGAAACTGTTAATAGTAATTGCAGTTATATTGTCCACTTATACAAATTGCCCCTAGTTCTGCAGCAAGCAGTGTGACCTTACCTTATCATTTGCAGAGAAATGGGCTGTTGCCAGGATGGCGTTACAGCCAGTAGTCTGCACCAACAGAGAAAAGCCAAACCTAACAAACTGACACTCCATCCACAGGTAGATGAAGTTTAGTATAAAATGAAAAGTGAAAACATAGTAGCTGAAAGGAAAAGAATGAATAAATGATTGAGTAATAAGGGAAATCCAATTAATACCTTCAAAGAGACTCTGAGGGACTGTAACAAAAGTGGGAGGATGTTTTCCTTGCCTATGGTCTAACCATGGTTGATCCCCCGTACCTCATATGGTTCCCTAAGCACTTCCAGGAGTCATCACTGTGCACCACTGGATATGATCCTTGCCGCAAAATGTAATAATTGATAGAAAGAGGATTGAACAAGAGAGGATATTGTCAATGTTTAGAAATAGCCAAAGTAAAACTGAAAAATCACCAAAAATAGTAATTAGTAAAGTTTATTGACTATATAATAAACAGACCAGAAGCATTCAAGCTAAAACAGGGAATGAGATTCAGGGGCATATTGTTATGCAATACCTTTTATACTGAAAAGGCAGTGACTATCTTCTACAGTGATTAATTATAATATTAGAATTCTCAGTGGTTACCTCAAATCAACCCAGTTGAAAATGGCTGAAGTTTTGCTTATGATTTCTAGAATCATTAACAAAAAATGACCCAGGTTAAGTGAGTCTTGTAAAACAGGTTCAATTAAGCTTTGTTTGTATGCTTTTAAGTGGTTTTGTCTGCTTAGGAAATTTTCAAGGATGATCTGCTTTTATTTTTCATTTTTAACAATATTGTCTCTTATCTTAATTATACCATATGCCTAAAGATGTGATGACATATGCTTGCCAAGACCACACCTGCTTTTTGCAACCTGACAAGATAAAATGAAAGCTTGCAAACATGAGTGTTCTGGCCAGGGAGTCATTTTTCATTTGCTATGATGATATACTTTACTAATTACTAATGACTAAAAGGAAGTTTAATAACATGCCAATATCTTCTGAGTTGTATCTAGTTTTTCTCCACAGAGTCTATGGCCAGGGACTAGAGAGTGGGCAATGAAACAATAGATCATTTTACATACATTATATAAACAATGTAAAATAGATGATTCCAGCTTCCGGTTTCTAAAACCCTTGCAATTTCTTACCACAAAAGCACTAAAAGTATCTTTTAATATTTGGTCTTTGACATTGAACTCATAAAGCCCTCGGAATTTCATAGGCGACCAGGTACTTTTATTTTAACATGGCAATTTTTCATGTGATCCTGGACAGAAGCTGATCACTGAAAGCTCAAGTGATGATTAGAAAACCTTTCAGCCCTACATCTTTATTCTCTGAAGAGGAGGGGAGAGCAAGAAAAGGAGTTAATGATCAGTCATATCAACATGACAAAGCCTCCATAAATATCCCTGCAATCTGAGTTCAAGTAGAGGGGCTTCCAGGGACTAGAGCAATAGCACAGCGGCTAGGGCATTTTCCTTGCACACTGCTGACCCGGATTTGATTCCCAGCATCCCATATAGTCCCATGAGCATCGCCAGGGATAATTCCTGAGTGTAGAGCCAGGAGTAAACCCTTTTTTGGGTCACCAGGTATGACCCAAAAAGCAAAACAACAACAACAAAAAACAAGTAGAGGGGCTTTCAAACCAGTGAACATATGGAAGTGTCAGGAGAGACCAGAGAAATGCTGAGCCTCCGCCCACATACCCAGACCTATATGTTTCTTCTGTCTGGATGTTCTTTGAGATGCATGCTTTATCATGACCTTCGCCAATAAACTAATAAGGAAACTGCTTTCCCTGACTGCTATCAGCTAGTTCTAGCAAATTAACCAAAGTCAAGGACAGGGTGGTAGGAATCTCTGGTCCATTAGAAACACAGATGTCACCTGAATTTGTAACTAGTGTCTGAAGTGTGTTTTTGATGGAAAGAGACAGTTTTGCAGAATATGTTGTTATGTCCAAGTAGATGTTGTCATAATTTAGTTAAACTGCATGCAGCAGTGCCAGGTGGTGCTAAGGAATTGCTTGCAAAGGGAGGAGGGCAGGGAGGAATGGGGAGTCTCCATCTATGGTGGCATGTAAAGTGTTTTGTACAAATAAGTACTAAAAGAGACACACAGAACTCTGGTTTTCCTTTCACCTTTTCTGAGTCTCAGTCTCTTTTCCTAAAATCTTGCAGTGAAAAAAGAAACTATGCCATAAAATTGTCACTTAACTTAATAAAACACTTAAAGTGTAACTCATACTATTTTGATGCACTATTGGATTAATATGCCACAATTTGCTTTTCAAGCAATATAGAAACGTAACTATGAGGAACTAGAAATTATGAAAGCCTCATTACCTCAGTTCTCATTTTTTCTTCAGTTTTTCATCTTTCCCCCTTTTCTGTCCTCCATTCTCTTCCCCTTTCTTCCTTCCACCCTTCAAAAGGGGGAAATATAAATACATATATTTGTATATGCAAATATATACATATGCATATGTCTACATATTTATATACTCACCTGGATGAGGCTAATTTCTTTATAGCTAAAGAATGATCTAATACGTATTTTCCTTTTCTACACTTAAAGTCACTTTACGGCGAATTCCTGGCTCAATGCACAATCAATGAGCCTGAGCACACTATTGCTCCTGCATGAGTGTGTTGGAAGTTAAAGTCACATAGAACATCCCTGGAAGACAGTCCCATAGCCTCAGAATTACTAAGATTGGAATGGGCTGATTCCCTCAAATGAAATTAGCCCATAAAAATGACACTAAGATAAGTGGAAAACGATTCTTACAAGTCTTTTAATAGCTTCCCTTCAAGAGGTAAGCTAGTTGATCTCTTTTAAGAGAAAGTTCAATGATAAACTATAAGTAATTCCAAGGTAGCTGTTAATAATCTTCTTAAGAATCAGCATCTGGAGCCATGTCTAACTTACTATAAAATTTCCACATGAATTATGCATCCATTCATTTACCTAACACTTGATAAGGACTCCAAATGAGCCCCATATTTGTGCAAAGACTGGGCCTTTAACCATGAGAGAGAACTTAATAGAAATTATCAATTATCAAGTGAAAGGGGCATTGGAATCATTTCTTATTGCAATGCACTGTAGCACTGTCCTCCTATTGTTCATCGATTTGCTCGAGCAGGCACCAGTAAAGTCTCACCACAAATTGTGAGACTTGTTGTTACTGTTTTTGGCATATCGAATACATTACGGGGAGAACTGTTTTAATTTGCAAGTACATTGCAAAATGAGACTGGATAGCAAGGACACCAACCAATATGATGTCAGGGAAGGAAACTGCAAGGAAGGGTATGATATTGCTGATTTAAACAGAAAAAAAGATAGAGTTAAAGTAGTATCTGAAATACAAAGAAATGTCTCAGATTTAAAAAAAAACATAAAAATTGAAAACATGCTTATCATTTTTGTGAAGCCTGGGGACAAGAGAGCAGAGTTAATGTGGGGATTTTGTGTGCCGCGAGTTGAGGGAAACATCAATGCCCCAAGATTGTTCTTTAGAGGAAAGGCTTCAAAAAGAAAAAAAATAAGGAAACAAAAAAATTGAGTCTGGAGAGTAAGCACACTTCCAGAAGGATTTTAAGACTTTAAATTTTTACTCAAGAGCATAAGGCAATTAGTGAAATATTTAATTTAGGTGGGTGAATAATTGGCTTTGGATTTAATAGGTTATACTCCAGGGTATCCTGGAACTGAAGGGGGATAGGCTCATACTAAAGGATGGAGGGTTGATTGGGAAGGGCATTCAGTAGTACACACAACACTTACAATGATCAGAATCAAGAAATGTACAAATAATCAGATTTATGATAGGCTGAATTTTCAGGAATGAAAGGAGGGAGAATGGTATGAGGGATTACAAACAATTCTCAGGTAATAGATGACTGAATCTTTAACTGAGAAATTAAGAATAATTATAATGGGAAGCCAGAATAACATGAAACACAATACATTCAATTTTGTATATCTTGAATCTGAGATGTTTAGATATTATTTACTACACCAAGAATTGTAGGTTTGCTGTTTAGCTGAATGTTCTAGGTTGTAGACTCACAAGTCATCAATAACTGAAGTCATGCTGAATTAAGGAGGCAGAGAGCGCAAGGCTATCAACAGAATTATAAGTGCAAGCTTAAGATGATGAGCTTATTCAGTGAGGTTCTATGTTCAGAAGCTTAATTTTCTCTAGCTAAAGACATAAGGAGTGATTTATTAGAAGAAAATTCTATACAATTGTTTTCATGATCAAAAATATGGAAAAGTCCTGAGGGTAGTATTCCCTTGGTTTCTAGTGCATTCTAATACTGAATGCTCATTCACTTACTGGATTTCTACTCCAAGGACCTGGTGATGGGAAGTTAGCACTCTAAAGCAAACAATTTAATCTCTACCACGGACATCATGAATCTTAGCAAACATAATAACAATCATTTAAAATCCATTATACCCACTATATAACTTCAATTGCAATGTCTCTCTAATGGAGCCTTCCCAAGAAATCCTGCCACAATTTACATCTTTATAATATGAGTACATTTTACATGCAGAATGCGATTTCATATTTATTATACACTAATTCATTTGATACTTAAATAGCAGGTATTACTAATTTAATATTTGTGTGACAATGTGTTTAGGTTTATACAAGCCATAAAAATAATGTGATGAGCCTCAATTAGCTTTGCATTTATTCAAACCTATTAGAAAATAGTGAATGTATATTGAAAGAATTGACTTTAAATACCCTTTTATTTCAAAATTATAGAATGTTTAAATGTTCTATTAACCATTTCTACAGATATTAATTGATCCTTCCTCTTTCTTAGCCTATGAATTTGCAATATATAGCAATTTTTTTGAATGGCTGGTATATCTAAGTTCAAACGTTTTATATTTGGTTCGGGATATAATTCAGCAGTTATACACTTGTCTTACATTTTAAATTTCCAACATTAAAAATATTTAGAGTGTTATATTACTCTAATATCAAAAACAGAATACAAAGGAATAGAAAACTAGAGGGCAATAACACTGAATAACATAGAAGCAAAAATTAAAAAATTCAATTCACACACTAAGGTAATACATTAAGTGTACTGTAGCACTGTCCTCCTGTTATTCATCGATTTACTCGATACTATAGTGATCATAAATTATTACCAATAGGAGTGCAAGAATCACCCAATATCTAAAGTCAACATGGTACATACTACTTTAATAAAATAAATGATAAAATGTATCAAAATAGGTGTGTGGCTTAGAGTTAAAATACATGATTTATATGTATGAGGTCCTGGGTTTGATCGTTATTATGAAATCAAAACAAACAAAACAAAAATACTATCATGGTTTCAATAAATACAACAGAAACATTTGAAAAAATCAACGGTCATGTATGATAAACAGCCAATAATGCTTATTAAAGAGAGACAAAACATGGAGGCCACAAGAATGGGAGGAAAGGAGGCATTTCTGGAAGTTCATTGTTCACATGGTTTATGGTCATTGCATTACTCGGAGTCTGGATGTCAGTAGCTGTCATTTGGTTTGAACTGGTTGATTATGAGGAAGTTTTAGGAAAACTGGAAGTTTATGATGCCAATGGTGATGGAGATTTTGATGTGGAAGATGCCAAGGTTTTATTAGACTTCAAAGAAAGATGTGCTTCAGAGCCAAATGAGCTGCCAGATGAGACCAAGCAATACCCTTGGCTGGAAGAGCCAATTCCTGAGAGCAGAGGAAATGTCCTGCTACAAGAAGATGATGAACCAACAAGGGAACAGGAACCAGAAGATAATTTCCTCAGAGCGAGTACCGCAGATGATAACTTTGAGGCCCCAGACACTGCACCCTTTTATGAAGATGAAATTAGTTACCAAGTAGAAGATGACACAGCAATATCAGACTACAATCAGAATGTAGACAAAGCAATGTATGAACAAGAAAATCCAGATGCCAGTGAACACTTAGGCACTAAGGATGAACGAATACTTCAAGATGCATATATACATGTCAATTCATGTACATAGGAAATATAAACAATATTATGCGTGCATGTGATCACATTAATGTTTTTGTGATTGTGCAAAAGATATGATTTACCTGGAGCTTCGGATAGTGATATTTTTCTTCATTTTTTTCTTTTCCTTTGTAAACATTCTAGTGAGAATTTGCTCAGGAGCTTTAGTAGTTTCTAGTAAATAATAGAAGTAGCTACTTAGAAGAGTGGTGTGTGTGTGTAAAAGAGAATAAAAAAGATTTTTATTTTATGCTTGTATAATGTAACTTTGATATATATTATATTTGCATTTACTTTATTCATTCGTATTATATGCCCAGATGTATATGTATGTTGCATACAAATGCACACATGCAAATATACAGGCATAAGTCAGAGAGCAAGGAGAGAAAACAAGCAAAGTATCGCTCAGCACTTCATTATCATTATTTAATTCATTATCATTATTTAATCTTCACTACAACTGAGTATAAGGCCATTTCTAAGGAGTCTGGGAGTGTGCCTAGCAATTGATAAGACTAAGCTTCAAAAGCAAGTACCTCTGGCTCCAGAACATGTTCTTTGTACTTTTTGCTGCATTACTCTCTGCCCAAAGAATAAACCTCAGAAGCAGAAAGGTATTAAAAGCATCCATGGGGGCAGTGGGTAAGACATCTGTCTTGCACGCAGCCTACCTTGGCTGGTTTGATTTCCAGCATCCCATCTGGTCCACCACGCAGTCCAGGAGTAAGTCCTGAATGCAGACAGGAAGATCTCCTGAGCATTGCTGGGTGTGGCTCCCAAACAAAACCAAATAAAAAGCATCCAAAGTTAGATATTTAGCATAAATGAAATAGAGTAAGAGAAATAAATTACAAATATAGAAAAGAGCCCTGGAGAACTATATTACAACTTAGGAATGTGCCATATGGAGAACAAGCTGCTCTCTGTGACTGTGCAGTGATTACTTTGAGGAGCCCTTTGTAGGGGTTTCTTTGGTGATACCCTGTGTGAACTGACTGAAAAGTCACAGTTTTGTTTTTTTAATTTGTTGACTGCTCACCTATCCATTCTCACTCCCAAACTCTGTTGTTCCTAGTGACATAATGAGATAGCTAGCTTTAAGGTCATTCACCCTTGTCAACTTCCTAATGGCTAAAGGAAGGGAAGTCAATGAAAGCCTGCTTCTCAAACATCTGCCTTAAGAATGCAGATTACTGCAGATGATTGCAGATGATGAGGGATGATTGGAGTTTAGACATGGAGATTTGGGAAGAGTGTATGCTTAAAAAATAAATTAGCAATTGTTTGGATGTCCAGTAAAACTGACAAGAAGTATCAATGATGCCTCAGTTGTTGCAGATTAGCAGATGGTGTCTCTGTCAGCAAGGAGGGGATTTGGCAATAAAGAAAGTCTAAGAGAAAAAGGAATTGTCAGATGTTGTATCAGCATTAAGACATCAGGTAAGTGTCTCAGAAATGCCTGAAAATTCAGTACATTACTTTTAAAAGTGCTGTGTGTAGGAAAGATGGATGAGGATTATCTGTATCTCTACTGTCAGAAAACTTCGAATACCGCAAAATGGTTTGCAGTTTACACATAAGTAACCCTTTCAGGTAGAAGATTTGATTTGCTAAATTGATTTTCATGATTTATTTTATATGTTTTTCTTCGTCTTTTAGATTCCTAAGTGGATGCAGCAGATTGGATTTTTCAGTCATAAAAAGAAACATATGTGTCCCAATTAAAGGAGGCAATTTCACATTTCCTGTCATAGTAGATGTCCCAACATTGTAGGACCAAATTCATAAATTTTTTAAGGATCAAATTATGTTCAGTAAATCAAGGTTAATATTAGGCAAGGCTTACACGTTTTTAGAAATTGAAATTAGAAATTGTTAATAATGGTATATATTGGGCTGGAGCGATAGCACAGCGGTAGGGCGTTTGCCTTGCACGCAGCCAACATGGCCACCCGAGTTCGATTCCTCCGCCCCTCTCTGAGAGCCTGGCAAGCTACCGAGAGTATCTCGCCCACACGGCGAGCCTGGCAAGCTCCCCATGACGTATTCGATATGCCAAACACAGTAACAACAAAGTCTTCAATGGAGACGTTACTGAGCCCGCTAGAGCAAATCAATGAACAACGGGAGGGCCTTTACCTTTTATACACATAATGGTATATATGTGTGTGTGTATATCTATCTATCTATCTATCTATCTATCTATATATATATATACAGAGAGAGAGAGAATGGTTTAACTACAAAAGCATAAATAGGAGTTTGTGCTTCTGTATATGTGTGTGTATATATCCGGAATTTTTTCATTCATTCCGGTATCTTCATAATGATGAAAATGTACAATTTTGTTCATTGTTTTAAAACTGTGAGCTTATATATGTCCTTATTCCTCAATCCCCTATTACTATTTCTATCAAAATTAAGAAAATTAACTGTTCTAGGCCATGAAGCAGTACTGACATTTGATGTTCACACACTTTTCTTAAGTCATTTCAACTTTAGATACAGTTTTAAAAAGCAGAATTTTAACTTTTATTTAACACAGGAAACAACAATTTGGAATAATAATTATTGTTCTTAGAATGGCTTTCAAGGTCCTACCAGATTTGATTCTCCTGCCTTAATTTCCCATTTTCCCTTGTTCTGCACCAGCTCTCCTATCCCTCTTACTGTCCTTAATCCCTACTCAATGTTTTCTTGCCAAAATTCATGAAACTTACAACTACTTCACCCTGGAAGATGGGCTGAAGAACTATTTCCCCAGAAAACTCATAGCTGTGTTTAAATGTCATTGTCAGAGGAGTCACCCTGATAGTACTAGATAGAATGTCACTGATGTAGGCAGGTAGACAGGGAGGGCCCCCTCCTGAGACAATGACAAAAGCCAGCCCTGCAGAAAATAGGAAAACAGGAACTAAGGCTTGATAAGACCCTCACCTGGCTCCAGCAACAGACTCAAAGAAGCTCCTCTAGGAACAAAAGGCCAGGAAAGGAATTTCAAAGAAGACCATCACCACTCCCATCCTCCCTGGTAACCTCCTTAGCAACGGGACATTTACTTGGGAAGAAGCCCCAAGTGGGGGCAGGCTGGAGAAACCCTATAAAGGCCACCTGGAACAAAGGAAGGGCACGCATATGCTGCCTGAGCCCATGTGTGCTTACGTCCACATGACTGAGCACATGTGGTGCCCGAGCACATGTATCGCCAGTATCTCCCCTCTTGAGATGTGTACTTTCATGCTTTCGTGTCTAACTTTACTCTCTCACTCTCCCTCCCTCCATACCTAAAAATCCTCCAAATAAAATCTATTTACTTCACTGCTTGTCTACTCCTGAAATTCCTTTCTGTGAGGCGAGACAAGAACCCAGCAACCTGGGTCCCGAATGGCAGAGGCGAGTGGGGAGAAAGTGACTGTCTTTCTCCTCCCCGCTTCACATAAGTCACCCGTGGGGCCCACCGACATCATCGCCATGCTTATCCCAATCTTGCATTCTATATCCTTTATCTATTGTGATAGGAAGAACCCTAAAATAGTTTACAAGATCCAGTTCCCTAGTATATGTGTCCTGCATAAACCCAGAATTATAATATGATCTATTTCACTTCTCTTACTAGGTTACATTATATGATAGTGTTTATTAGAGAAGGGAGGTCATCTAGTGAGAACCTGAATTAATCATATTTAATGTAAAATCCTAGGTCACATGCCAGAGATAGAAACTGATAACTTCACAGAATCAGAGAAATTCTGATGAACATCAAGAATCTACTGTCATATTATAACAGGGACCATGGTACAGAAAGTGATGAATGTCTTTGAGAGACTGAAGACAGTCTATCAATATGCAGAAAGTAGACATGGATCTTACCCCTAAATGCAAGGAACTGAATCCAGACAACAATCTGAATGTGAGTGGAAGAGGCCCCATACTTCAGATGTGATCGCAGTCATGAGGCCACCTTGATTTCATCCAGGTGAAATCCTGTGCTGAAAAGCTAGGCATGCCACGTGTTACAAATTTTGTCATATTTTACTGTTGACAAAATGAAACCTGATAAATTATTGAATATTTTCTGAAATTCGAGAGCTAGAATGATCCTTAAAACAATAAATAAGAAATTTACAAATAGAAATAATATACTCAGAGAAACACTTATAAAAATTAAAGGCTAAAACAAATTAAATAAAAAAGGCTATTTTATATAGATCAGAGAATAATGCACCTAAAGAATCAAGTTAAAAGAGACCATAAGTGTACTATATAACTGAAGTTTTAAAAGCAAAAGTATGTAATACACAGGAAAAGTAGAAAAATGTACAACTAGTGCAGAAAATTTTGTTTCTAAGTAATGCAGATCAATTAAATCAACACAAAACAGAGCTACAGATAATTTAAATACACTAATTTAGAGATTAGATTTAACCTATAGACATGCTACAGAGTTTGTATTTTAAAAATAAAACACATTTCCTAATAAAACATATCAGTATTTGACTAACGTAATTAATCCTTGGTCAACAAAAGAAAAGATCCCATAAATTACCATCAGTGATCAACCATAAAGAGAGTGGGGATTAAACATTTCAGTCTCTCCTATCCCCAGTCAACAGTAAAATTCCTAAAAGGGGGATTAAATGAAAGATAAAAACACATATCCAAAAAGAGGTAAACAAAAAATTAATGAATTTGAAATTCAGTTTTCTAAAGTCAAGAAAATAGAAAGAAGTTGAAATTATGATATTCTAATAAAGAAGGTTGGAGATATTAATTTAAAGAAGAAAGAAAATATAGCTATCAGGGATATGGCATGAGATCTGGGTTAGAGTCTCAGTACTACAACATTCAAAAAAATGAAAAAAAAAAGGAAGGAAGGAAAAAAGAAAAGAAAACAGATCTGCAAAAGTCAATTTCAGGTGGAAAGGAGAACATATAATTATAGATTAAAAATTGTGTGAAAAATAATAAAATGGAGATAAGAAAAAGAAGAAAGGAAAAAAATGTTTA